GCTTGCACCTCAAATATCTTTGTTGTTTTTAAAGATACGTCGAATGTCTTAAGGACAAAGTTGAGTGGTTCAATGGGGCTCACACGATATAAAAAAATTTGTGTTTTTGTGTCATTTTTTTTAGAGATATTAAGGTCACCTTTATGTTTTTTAATGGATTCATCCTTTTTAAACACGTACAATGATAGTCCCTTTCATTAGAAGTTCAGTGACTATAATTATTCAAGCTCACAGAAAAAAGGGTGGTTCCGTTTAAAAAGATGTAAAATTAATAAAAATACATAAAAACAAAAATTTTGTTGGTATCGTGTGAGTCCCATTGAATCATTCAACTTTGTCCGTAAGACATTTGACGTATCTTTAAAAACAACAAAGATATTTACACAAATTCTTGGATTGTATTAAATGAAAGAATTCTAGGATGGCAGCAGGTGATTTGCGACACGACTTTAATACATTATTCCGATGGAATTTAGAACGTAATTTGCAAAATGATTAGTCTGAAAGAATTACTAGATTCTACACAAAAATTCGTCTATCTAACGATGATTTTAACGTATTATTCGGTGAACAGTTAATTACAATAGTTTACGGTATACACCGAAGAAAGTTTATCGCTGCGCTAAATCCACGCATCTTTGGTCATGAAACAGACGACGAAAATATTTCCCGAGTAGTTCATTAGAATCGATAGTCTCCCGCGAGTACGTTCTTGAAACCTGCCGCTTCGTATCGAAACAGCCAAAAATAAAAAATCCCATACAGGTACGTTTAATCCAAGGTTTCCTTTTCATCTTCCCGGTATTCATTGCAAAAAGCACACTCGAGAGTCTATAATACCGGTGGTGCTCCTCGTAATTTCTGTCAGCATTGGTAACGACCAATCAGCAAAACGCAGGTGTTCGATATTGGCCAATAGTTCTGAGGCCCGCACCCAGTCCAATTAAGCGTTCGATTACACCAGCGAGACGTGGCTTGTTAGCACCCATTGGAACCGTTCGTGAAATCCTGTTGTGCACTGTCGTCGTTAACGTCTCCAACCCCTCGATAATTTTATTATTCGACTCGACGATTTAAGAAAACGGCGACGATAGCGTCAAAGAGCGAAAACGAAAAATCTAGTACCTAGGGGATTCGACTATCCACCGTAAGTGGTGGAACGTCGATGAAGGGCGACACGAAGATGGCATATTCACCCAATCGAGCGAACGAGCATCGACCACGATCGAAAACGAGCCGAGGAAACGGGAAAAGGAGCAAGGATCGAGAGAAATATTGCTGGGTACACGGTTGCCCCCTCATCTCTAAGGTTAAATGGAGTAGAATGAGCCTAATTCACACACACACACACATACACACAGGTCGCAGTGTTTACGAGTGAGGCGCGGTTTTACAGCGGCGAAACGCTTGTAAAGCGTCGTAAAAGCCACCCCGAGTTATGCGACAAGGGGCCTACACGAGCTTCTGGGTAAACAGACAACGTGTCTTTTGGCCTGTCAGCGACAAGCTGGGCAGTCGTGGCGTCGCGTGTATACCGAATAGTATAAAATGGATGGCAAATTTGATGTATTTATAATGTACATAGCAAAAAAATATCGTACACTGATAACACGGTTTTGATATAATAGGGTGAAGAAATTACCACTGCCCTCCTGTGAGACGATATTCTTCTAACACGGTTTCCATGTAAGACGACTTAAGAGACTTGTATACGAATGCTTCCATTGCACAGTTTTTAGGTAACATAAACAGGGAATTCCCTTTATATACGAAATTGTTAAGAAGGGAAGTGTAAATCGTAATATTATAATAACGATATTTAGCATGATCGAGAAAAACCAATGTTTTGAAACAACAGTTCTTAGAAGTTCGTTTTAATCAGTAGGGTGGATGCGCTAGTAAATAAATACGAACTAGGGAATGAACGTTATACATAAAAATTAATAAATTAAGTTATTAAAATAAGCAAATGATTGAGTATTAATTTTTTTCAATTCCTTATTTAGAAATGTTCATATACTTAATCTTGTTTATTCATTGGTGTAATATGTATTTTTTCTTCCTAATTTCATTAATTACATTTTTCAATTTTTCGAATTGGAATCTATAAGTTATGAAAAGATATAGATATTAAAAAATCTGATTAGCATGTGCCAAATGTTTATTAATATCACTATCATTTAAAATTCATCTATATTTAGTTACAAAGTCCCTTAAGTGTTCATTCACTGCTGCGTTTACCCTATAGAATAATGTAACAAGCACAGTCGTGTGTATATTGGAGCAATATGCAATCATGTGTGTCGTATTATTTCACATCATAACTTTCTATAGAAATTAAAGTTTTTTCCTAAAACATACACCATGCACAATTAACTTGAATAATAATAAGTGTCGCTTAACACGGTTTCACTACAACAAACAACGAATTAACCGTGTTATAGGAGGATCGAGTGCATTTCTTACAATATTCACCACCGTTTTTTCCTAGCAACAAAACAAAAATTCAACCTCTTCATCGGTCTATTCTATAGTAATTAAAGTTTCTTTCTAAAACATACACCGCGCACAATTAACCTGAACAATAATAATAGGTTTCGCTTAACACGGTTACAACACAAGAACCGAATTAATCGTGCTATAGGAGGATCGAGTGCATTTCTAATAATTTTCACCACCGTTCCTACCTAGCAAGAAACCCAAAATTCCACCTTGTTCATCAGTCTTTTCCTATCAAGAACACTTTCTCGGCGATCATCCGGCGGTTCACAGCACCAAAGAATTCTCCCGGTCGATCGAACTCTCTAACAATTCTCCCTCGCGTGTCACCCGTGGAAGAGGGGTTAAGAACGTCGTTTAGAAACCGTCTAATTATTCCCGTCTTCGCTGGTCGACCGAGCGTTTCCGCGAGTGGGCCCGTTAGCCTGGCCCCGTCGAGAGTCCTCGTCGAGAGGTGGTAATTTCGTTGCGTGCAACAGCGTGTGTCGTGTTCGAGGTACGTGAAAACGTGCGAAGGAGCCTTAATTAAGTCGATTAAGACGTTATAAGGCCCCTGTCTGAACCTTACGGCCTCTCGCCACCGGGGAGAAGCGATTCCCCCGTCGTATTTCGCTAACGGAAAAGGCAAAACAATTTTCGCGAGCAACCGAGTGCCACACAAGGGCCGCCCTTATGGCGATACTTCGACCTCGGGCTGAGTTTCATCAGGCGGCTGGTAATTAAGGCCCATGAATCAAGCCGATACGTGAATAGATAAGCTTCCAACCCGAAGGTGATGACTAAGTGGGAGAGGAAGGGTAAATGCGGTGAACGCTAAATCCGCATCGGAATTACCATTAAGTTTTGCCTCGTTGACTTCCATTCGACGCACGTTCTCGCGCGCTCTCCCCCATCGGATGAATCCGGGCAAAAGTGTTGCGGCGGATGTGTAATTGAATTAAATACCGCGTTACATCGTTCGCGTGCAAACGTCCGGCGACGTAGCTGACTTTCGCTAGGTCGTGCGACGATTATCCGTGGTAGCGACGGAAGTCACCGTGGAAAAATTATTGGTGCAATGGATTGTTATCAAATTCCCTTTTTCGAGGGTTATCACATCTGAAATACTCAACTGAATTTGTCGTACGATGCGAAAATGTTTAATTGTTTTTCAGAAAAATCTACCTGGTATGTATAGAAATGTTTCCATTGATAGGTTCAAGCAGTTAATAAATTGTTGTACAAGAAACATTATTTGATCTCGAGAAGAATGTACGATACTTGGTAGATTCCACCGCGATGTAGTTCATTCCCCTTAATTACTCAGAAACGCGACCCGCTAATTGTTCCGAGCCACGGTAGTTTCACGTTTCGCGTACGATCCACCCACGGGAATTGACGCCTGCGTGGGTTCTATCGGGCAAAAAACCTTCTAATTCCGCGCGCTCGCGGAATCCGATACTCGCTGACCACGTTTAACCCTTGGAAAACGGTGCAGATCGGAAAACCTGACACGGTCTTACCAAAACACCCACTTAAACCATTGCCGAACTATATTTTCTCTGCTGCCACGTTATTCGTTCACAATCATACACATATCTCTCTAGAACCATTAAATATTAATATCACCGAAGAAGAATATTAATTTTCCCGTGAAATTCTGTGCATATTATCGAAATAATTCCTGAACCCTTTGATATATTAACAGTGTTCGTCACTTGGTTCCAACATTCCAAGTCATATTGACCAGATAGAAGATCGGAAAGGTATTCTGAAATTAAACTGCTGAGCCAGTTTATCAAAACCATAGTGGATCACGTAACTCTTTGAAGCACACGATTTAAAAAAAAATAAAAACCCTAGTTGCGCAGAATGTTTTTTAGTATACTAAAAATTATATAAAAATAAAATATTAAACTGTATGACTATGAGTAATTTCGACTATTCGATGTGGGTTAAAATATATCCCACCATGCATGAAAACCTAAGCAAAAGGTGAGACAGTTTTTAACCCACCTAACCCTAAAGAGTTAAACGCCCCATAGATTTGTCGTGCAATTCGCCGTACAACTTAGGTCGCTTCGACTATTGCAACGTTTGTGGTGCAGTCGTACGACTTCTAGACGATACAGCTAGCGAAAAATCTGTTATCCTAACCGTCTGTCCAACTCCCTGTACAACTTATACGAAAAATCGTATCGTCTATAGGAACCTCAGAGTCTATGCTCCATCTAACGAGAGGTGTCAGTAAAAATCACCAAAATTAGCTGGTAACCGTCTCAGTCCTTTCTCATCTAAACTCTCATCACCTCCCTTTGTTACTAAACTCGACTAACTAGATGAGGTACAAACCCTAATCAGAGTCAGATCGCGACCACCACAAGTCCAACTCGTCATTACAAGATGGACCAAAACGCGGAGGGATCTTCACCAAAAATTAAATCATCGATCGTCCACCCCCCAGCGATCAAGGATAACCGGTGTTCCCTTCTACCGTGTCGTATAAATAATAAAATTCAGACTCACGGATGAGGCGGTGGCGCGTGAAAGGCAGCGGCGGCTGCAGCAGCCGCGGCGGCCGCGTGATGCTCCCATGCGGCTGCGGCCGCTGCGGCCGGATGCGGCGGCGGCGGTGGTCCATGATGCGGATGGAACGGCGGCGGCGGCGGTGGATGAGGGTGCGGATGGAAAGCCGCGTGAAAGGCCGAATGCGGATGATGGGGTGGCGGCGGTGGTGGCAACAGGGAGAACGCTTCCTGATGGTAGGCGACCTCTTTCTCCGGCATTTTGTCGGCGTGAACTAGGGCCCAGTACCGCGCCAACGAACTGGCTGCCGTTTCCTCCAAGATCAGGGAAGATCGTGCTGCTGTCTGACACCCCGTGTCCGGCGATGCGAACGACCTCTGATCCAGGATCGCATAGTCCGCGCCTGAAGAGACCAGCCCGTCTCTGTTCCACCAGTATCCTCCGTTTCGTTCCTTAATGGTGATTTTGTTTCTTGATATATCTGAAATCCCAGCCCGAGGCTGACGGTGTTATCGAGGTTCCTAGCTTCCTCGATGGCGAACACAGTCAGCGGGGATTTACTTTGATCGGGAGTACGGCTCCCGTCGGCTGGACCGTCGGAGAGAACAGTAATGGGCAGCTAAAGTTCCCTTCCGTTCCTTTTCCCCAGTGGGCAATAAGACACTTGACCTTTTAAATTCGCTTCCGGTTACCCTAGGACCGTTTCGAGGACCAGTTCAGAAATCACTGGTAGACGGAGGATAAGTACCGAACGGGATTAGATTAATGTAAACAGGATCAGCTTATGTCCAATGTCCAGGAACGACCGAAGGTCCGAACGATCATCGGCTCTCGACCAACCGCCGATGATCCACACAACAACCAGGACGCACGCGTGTCTTGTCAACAGTCAAACGAACCGATCGAAACTCCACTGAAAAACTGTGCTCACTGACGTTTCCACAGTGTCATCGGGCATCCGGGCTCCCGGGTGACCACGTTCACCATTTATCGTATGGTCCCTGTATCGGATGAATCGCCGCGCACCATGACCGAGGGGCACACACACAGTGTATATCACTGGTAGCCACCGGTATATACCAAGCACACTGTCTTCCACCCCGAACTGCACTCCGAAATCGGGGATCCGCGGCCGGCGGATGATTCGCGACCCGGTATGATCGTCACACTACGGGTAGTCCGCTTGAATCGTGCCACTGGGAACACCTCCGGGGGGAGAAGGAGTAAAAATAAAATACCGAAGAAAATAACAAATAAAAATAAATGAGAAAAAAAGAGGCGGACTAATGATCAGTGGCGCAGGGGTAAACCGGGGTTTTCGGAAAAATCCACGGTGGCGAGACGTGTGTGACGGACCTGTCACGGTGCTCGTGCTTTGGCGGGTATGGCGGTACTGAGAGTCCACCACCACCACCACCACCACCGTTGCCACCACCATCATCACCACCACCACCACCAGCGCCAGCACGAGCGTCGACGAACAGAGTACGAACGGTGGTGGATGCGGTCGTGCGTTCTCGGGTGGGCGTGCGTGCGACGAGGACCTTCCACGGTGGAAAACTCGAGCTCCGCCGCGAGAGAGACGGACGTATACGCCTATGACGGCGCGATCCATTGGGACCAGAGCGAGAGGGGACTATCGTGGGCACGATGGAGGGAGACAGAGGGGGTCCAGTGGATCCCCAGGACGGCACGGTGGGAAGAGACTCGTGGTGAGAGACCGTAAGTGGTGGGAGTTGGCGGGGACCAGGCTGTGGAGGGAGAGAGCTACTGTACAACGATAGTTGAAACGGGACGGAGAACGCGTGTCAGCTCGACAACTCAACTAGCACCAGCCGTCCCTGACTCCCACCTTCGCTCCACCACGACTCCTCTCCCTCCCAACCCTTTCGTTTGCGAAGGCGTACGAGGCGGACTGCGGAATCGCTGGGGGAAGGGATTGCGTGGGTGCCGTGGAAGAGAGAAAGGGGGGTTGAAACTATTTCGAGGGGGAGAAACTATCCATCAAGGATGTATAGACTAGCCCGTGTCCATGGTGATGGAGACGATTAGTGGGATCCAGTGTGTGTTTATGGACGTTGAGAGGAGGGCGTTTTTCAGGGTTCGATGGGGGGATTTGAATTTTACTGTATACAGTTTTCAGGTGATTTCCTGGTGACCTTCAGGGGTGTGCAGAGGAAAGGTTTTTGGAGCAATGAAGATGCATTGTTCTTTGGCACGGAAGTTTTGTTTTAGGGGTTGGAACTACTTATAATATATTAACTTTACCACATTGATCCATATAGAGATGCCTTCAAGTGACATGTGCACCCCTAACGGTTCATAGAAGTTTCATTATTCTTCTATTAATAGAATAACCAAGGAAGAGATTATAATCTGCACTCTCACGACCGAGTAATAAATAATTTCCCTCGAAGTGTTGCCTCCTACTTTAATATTGTCTCGGATACTCGTGCGACGGAAACGCAAATTTTCATAGACAATAAACTCAAGTGGCCTTCGAGTGTTTGGCTTCCGGCATACACGAAGTACACCACGAGAGCAGTCGGACAAATATTTTTTCTCTCCTTTCGAGGACCTTTTTCCCCCAGTGTGAATCCGAAAAGCGGAGGAGAAATCTGGCCTACCCGACGACACAAGTTCCTTGGAACCCAACCGCCTACTGTCAACGGTGTCCTGCCTTTCCTCGCGTTTTCGCCTCCGACGGTTTCGTATTTCCGCGCGGTCGTTCGAACACGTGCGCGACAACCGAGGAACTCGCGTAACACGAAAACGCTCGTTTCTAAACCTGATCTACCGTTTCAATGAATTACAATTCGAGGAATTCCATCGAGCCTAGGGTGTAATAAATCCAAAAGGATAAATTGCGTTGTATGTAGACTACAAATTCTATGGGTTTACATTCGACGCACATAAAATATGGTGAAATCAACGCAACTACAGACTTTATTTTCTCTTTTGAATTGAAGTAATCTGTTATCAGTTCACATCTGTGTTTATAAATTAGCCAATAAGCGTATGGATAAACACGGGCTGTCTACTGATATATCCTTGTTTACAAGAATTCCGGTTGAAAATCGAAAATATGCACTCTGATATTTTAAAAGGCGCTCCCACGACAGTCGAAGCGTTACCAATCTTACAAAACGCCATAAGGTAAGTGTCCCATTTCTACTCATTTAAGCCTTTATTCGTCATAAAGAAGGTGAATAAAATTTGTAAACTAATTGATTACTTCTATAATAATAAATGAATTAATTAAAAAAATATTTTCAAGCTATTATTACTCAAAATTCAATCAATGCTCCAAATGTCCATATTTCTACTCACTTTTTGTACCTATTTGTACTCACATTGATAAAAATTAAAATGTCTTCGAATAGAAATATAGCGTACAACATACATTCAATTATGAAGTTATCTTACTAAAATTTTGGTGACTAGAAGTGACGGTAATTCATTTGATCCTAAACCTACTCATCTGTTTTCTTCTCAACAAAATTAAAAATACTAAATAAATCTACATCCAAAGCACTATACAGTACATAAATTTCAATACAAATACTCTTTTCTGTCCGTTTATCGAATAACAATCGAGTCTCTGTTCCCTAGCACAAACAGGTAGAACAGGATCAAGATAACTGAGTTTCTTTTCAAAAATTTAAACATTAATATGTCCAAATAATTTGGAATCATTTTGTTACAACTGTAGTATCAACCTAAGATTTATAACAATGAGTAAAATCGAGACATGAGTAGAAATTAGGACAGTTACCTTCCTCCTTTCGAAAGTAATCCAAAGAAGTTTTAAGAGTCTTTCTTTCCATGCTTCTCCGCCCCTAACAAACTGGCTCTCTACAATTTTCTATCAATCATTGACCCATCGAAAGCGACCAGATCCAATACCGTTTACGCTATAGAACCTCTCGCCAAACGCAGCGACCAACAATGACTAATTATCCTCGCTTTTCCTCGATCGCGAGAATAAAGCAGCCAGAGTAGTCCCCAGGCTGGTCCCTCGGCCGTTCTGTCCCTCGAGCACCGGGTTCCGCAACCGATAATCACCGCGCGCAGGGATGAAGCGCATACAGTCATTAACTATCCGTCGGCTCGTTGCGGTTGTCCTCCGTCTCTCGCCAGTTTCTGCCCGTCGTAATTCTCCCGTTCAGGTATGACCTCCCTCTTCATCAGCGAGTACACGTCACGTCCACGTTTCACAATCAGGCAAACACCTGTGGCCCTTTATTATTTTGTTGATTTCCCTCCTCTTGGTCGTGCGATTCTTCTTCTCTCCGCCCTGTTTCACCTAATTATCTCCGAATGACCAGATCCAATCAACGCAATAACGAGCACTTCCTTCATTGGACACTAGACGGACACCATTGGTGGTTTCTGGTAACTCATGAAGTTAAAACTCGCGCAATTCTAAAGCCTATTACGCACTTTCGAATAATCGCAGGCGAGTTACAAGAAGTCCCTAGATGAAACGCTAACTTTTTAAATGAAGTTTAACACAGTGGCAGAGAGCTTGGAAGTCTGAAGTTAATGATATTTGTTTCAATCGCATATGGCCTTTAGTCTGTGAAATATTTCATGTTCGGTGCCGAGGAGCCTTCGAACACTTATCGTGGACTTACTGTACTCTCCAAACGACGGATGTATGTACTCCAGACATCTCCTTTTATTTTATCGACGTTTATTTATCCTGTACAATGCACACAGAGGTTGAAAAATCCCCAGTGGTCTTACACTACCGATTGTTAATCGAACGATCAATTTATAAATCGAATAAAATATCGCTTGGTCATTCTTTCCATGTGGTATTGGGGATTATTCGAAGGCTAAAGTGTCTCGATTACATCTGTGGAATGTCTTCTATCTGTAACGAGACGAGGTGCGAGTTTCGTTAAAATCCAAACGTGAGGTTTTTCATCGATATACAGTAAATCTTCGATGAGTGTTTCAAGGCTCTTGGCAAGTAGAGATCCTCAGATGTAACGGTGACTTTTCAATAAGGTTTAACACAGTAATAGAGAGCTTAGAAATCCGAAGCTAATGATATTTGTTTCAATAGTTTATTAAATATTTAATTTTGCCAGAGAAGATGAGCCTATGAGGATACAACCAATCCAAACCCAACTCAGACTCCTATTCCTTCCGGTTGCCCTCTTCTCAGCAACGCATAATAATTGCGCTCGTCTGAATTATCCCGTCGATGACGGTGCGTACGACGTCAGACAACTTCCTGGGGGTGGATCGTCGGTGGAAAATCAAAGAAGAATCGCCTGGACCGGCGTTCCCTTAATGGGCAGTTTAAGGGAAACGGTTCATTTGAATGAGCGGAGAACCCTATTCCAAGATGCCTGACGCGTAACAGGAAGCGGGGACACACCTCGGGGGTAACTTCCGGAACGAGGTTTTTTTGAAATTAACCCTCGGGTATTCGCGTGGCGTGCTGCCCTTTTCTGTTATCTGTTAACGCCATCGTTGGGCGGTGTTTTTAGAGGATTCCAGGAGGTTTATGGTATCCTGAGACTGCCAGGGATTATAGACATCCTACTATGTCTTTTGTACTTTGTGCAGCTGGAGTTTCAGTGATAGAATGTACGTGTATTTAATAAAACTGATGAGAAGCTATTTTGGTACTTAGAAGAAATAGCGACAACGTTAATTAAATTAATTCTGTTTCACATTTGGCTTCAGAAGACCTTACGAATGCAAATATTCCTCTTCCATTTTTTATATATACTAAATACACGTAATGAAGGTCCATTCTACGTTTGCAAAGGAATATTCATAAGGCATTCGTTGCTTGAATTGATCCGTATGTACACTCACGAGCAAACTTGGCTTCCGCTAGTGGAAAAAGTGAGGAGGAACCTCTTACCACTTGCTAACTTACGTACGAATATTAATTTGGCATAAATTTCAGTAACTCTCCAAGATCAAAAGCCGAGTTTCCTCGTGAGATTACTTCAAACCTTTCGACTACAAACAGCACCTAAAGGGGCCCAATGCTAGCTACTCATACATATATATTAAATGTTATATTAACTGCAACCTAATGAAAGTAACCATTTGGGTGATTTAATTTTATTCCTATGCGCCGTGCGATTGGCACGTTTTCGTTTTCTGAGTCCTCCGCCGTCAAAGGGTTAAATATCGTTGAGCAAGATACAATATATCCGAGTGTAGGATTACAATTAGAAAATTCGTTTCGAAACGAGGTAATGACATCGGTCGATCGACTGGATGATATTTTCACTCTATCCGTTCGGACTTCCAGGATTCCCGGGAGTAACCGGGGAGGTCGATCGGTATCAATGTCGGAACACGCATCCTCATCGACAGCCCGAACACCACCCCATCGAACGGGGGGGAAGCAGACGCGGCTATCCGGCAGATCCAATCGATCCGTCTTGACTGAACTGCTGTTGC